GTGTGTGTGGCTCTGCCTGTGTGCTGTAAATCTATTTTCTTTCAGTTTTCGCACAGCACATTTAGCCCATTTTCCACTTGGCAGCCAAATGAAATTCGAGCTGCAGAAGCTGAGGGTTGCCAGCTGCGCCCCAGCGACAACTCTACTCTACCACACACACACACATACACATTCTTACACGCATGCAATGATTCAATTTAACTGCAAATTTGCAAAGCAAAGACTTATTGCATTGCTTGAAATCAAACTGCAAATTCGTTTATTCCTATCAATTTCACAAAAATCATATCCTTTGACTCCTTATATACGAATCATAATAATTATTGTCGCTGACTTCTTCTTATGATTATACTCATTCACGAAAGCGAAATAGCATATTGGTTTTTTGCATAAATATGTAAAATTATCCTCGAAATAATATACATATATACCAATTGAGGGCGTGGCAAATTGGCAATTGGATCAGTCAGCATTTGGACCTCGAATGAGTATTCTGCAGCCGGTAACACCCGACTGCAACGTTTTTACTAGTCATTATTATTATGATGACTTTCTTTTTTCATTGAAAATTTGTATATTTTCTTAAACAAGCTTTCGACTCTCCTTAGTGTTTTTAGTCATCTAGTTTTCCTTACACTAGACATCATGAGTTAGCTCATTTACTCAGCATCTAATTAGCCTTGAGAAGTATTTCCAGCTCCCGACCCACCTTAGTGCTGTAGAGACGAAAATGTAGGCAGTATAAATATAGGCCTCAAGCCCTAAACATATCAAAATATAAATTTTTCCGAAAAGTAAAAACCAAAAAAGTAAATTTTTTCAAAACGCAAAATAGCAAAAGTAAAAATTTTTTTTTTTTCAAAAACGTATATAATTTTATCTTAATGTACTAAAATATAGCAAACAAAAGATTGCAAAATGAATACAGGTAACGAGAGGTTAATCGAAGCTAAAGTTTGTACACGTGCGAATTATGGGTACGTGAAGTTGCCACGTCTGAAAATAACCAGATTGGGCGTGCCTTTGGCTAAACGTCCAACTGGATTCGTATCGCTACAATTGTTCCACCAGGACATAAAGGATCAGGCCAGACGCCTTCAATTGGTCGTAAGTAATGCCTAGGGGTCCGCACGATGACTGACCCAACTAATGTGATCATCACTTAATACTTCACTCAACAGAAAAAGCGTCTCAAAAATATGGTCTCTGTGTCTACACAGACCGACAGCAAACTGGTTCTGTTGTGGAATCAAAGGATGGTGACTACTTTGCACTACTTGCAGCCGTCGCTTGAGGAGCAGTCCTACAACTATATCGATAAATATTTTAACCGGAAGACCAGTAAGATTGTACACATTGTGCTAATTACTCTAATCACTTTGATCAACATTTGCGTTATCATTGGCTTATATGAGAGGACCAAGCACCATTTGTATTAAATTCTAGTTATCAGCTAGTCCACGATGCTAGCTGCTTAATGTTCAATAAAAAAATTTATATGTTTTTATATAACAAATATTACTGTCATTGTCATTGCTATTATCATTATCATTGTCAACAGCCATTGTGTCATTGGCTATTGCCATTGTTATTGTCATTATCACTATCATTGGTTATTGTCATTGGCTAGTGCCATTAGCTAATATCATTGCTATAAGGCATTGTCGTTGTTATTATCATTGTCTTTGCTATTGGCCATTGTCAATGTTGATTGCCATTAGCTATTATGATTGTTTTAAGGTATTACTTTCGTTAGTCAATGGCCATTGATCATTGCTTATTAGTCATTATTCATTAGTCGTTGGTCATTGGTCACTGATCACAATGCCCAATTGTTCATTAGTCATTAGGCATCGTGTCATTGGATATTGCCATTATCATTGTGATTAGCCATAGTCATTATCACTATCGTTAGCTATTATCATTGGCTAATGTCATTGTTATAAGGCAATGTCATTGCTATTATCATTGCATTTGCCATTGGCCTTTGTCAATGGTTATTGCCATTGGCTATTGTCATTGCTTTAAGGTATTACTGTCGTTAGTCATTGGTCATTGGCGATTCATCATTGGTAATTGATCATTGTTCATTAGTCATTATTCATAAGTCGTTGGTCATTGTCCATTGGTAATTGATCATTGTTCATTGATCATCAGTCATTAATCATTGGTTATTGGTCATTGATCATTATTTATTAGTCGTTGGTCATTGTCCATTGGTGATTGATAAATGGTCATAAATCAGTGTTCGTTAGTCATTATTAATTAGTCGTTGGTGGTGATTGATCATTGGTCATTGATCATTGTTCATTAGTCATTATGCATTCGTCGTTGGTCATTGTCCATTGTTGATTGGTCATTGGTCATTGGTCATTATTCATTAGTCGTTGGTCATTGTCAATTGGTGATTGCTCATTGGTCATTGTCAGTCATTATCGGCAACTGGGCTACTTCTATTAGCATTTCCATTGCCATTTATTTTGCCATTCCATTAGCAATCCAAATTGTTTTTCAACTCCAGTTCTTAGTTAGGCTATGATGCCAGCTTAATATTAAATAAATATGCATATACATTTCTATGCCAATTGTGGGTATATATGTACATATATAGCTTAAGCCATTCAGATTCCTTAACACCCTCTCCGTCTGACTCTCTCCCTGTTTCTGTTTCACTTTCTCCACAGACATTGTCATGCACATGGACAGAGTGTGGACAGTTGTTGACATGTTGGCGCTCGAAACTGTTGCATTCTTCACCATCTTTGTGTGTGTGTGTGTGTGTGTGTGTAAGCCACTGTCTGTGTCTGTGTGCTTGTGTGTGTTGCTTGGTTGGTGTGTTGCCTTTTCCGGTCTTTGACATTTACAACAGTTCGCTATGACAGCGTCGGGTTAGGGTAACAACGGGGCAGCTGGCTGGAGCTGTTAGTCATAGTGGGAGGCCAGAAGGGTGAGAGGGACGCCCACACATACACGCACACAGAGACAGGCACGCACACACACACACAAGTGTGTTTAGTATAACCATAATGGCGTCATAAAGATGATATCATAATTTCCTACTTTGCTTTTCTTTATTTTCTTTTCTTTTCGTGTTTTTTTTTTTTTAGTTTTTTTTTTGCCGTTTTGTTGCGCTCTCTCTCATTTTCCTGTTGCACACTTTGACGCTGCGACGCGTCGACTATTTGCCTACAGCCGGGCTTTTCGTTTAGTTTTTCCTTTTGCTTTATAATTTTTCGCTCGTTTTTGCCTCGTTTTGTCAAGCATTTGAATTGTGGCGTCAATATTTGTCAGCCCAGCCCAGAAAGTCGCTGCCGTAAGCCAAGCTCCATAGTTGTCCGTATTACTAAGGTATTACACTCTCTCTCTCTCTCTCTCTCTCTCCTTCCATACCCTATCTACATCTGTCTCTCTCCCACTCTCCCTTTAATGGCGTACGTCAGCAAATTGTTCCAGGAAATTGAGCGAGCTGCACTTCAAGTGAATTCCACTGGCAAATGCGACGCCATAAAAATGTGAATAAATTTAATACCATCAAGTCGGATATATATGTATATAAGGTATATATATATATAATATATATAAATGTATATAAATAAAAGTAAACGCCAACTAGAAAACGGCGCGTGCCAATCCGCCGCATTTTAGGCCGGAAATACGTTGGGGGCAGCTCTCGCTGCTGTTGCTGCAATGCAGCAATGCAATTCAAATGAAAGCAAAAGGGCTGCCCCCACGGAGCCAGAATCTATTTAAAGCACTCGACCCAAGTAGGGAGCGCTGGCTGAGAAGCGCCGAGAAGAGTGCGATTTTTTTTGTTTTTGTTTTTTTGTGGAGTGGAAACAATAAAAGCTATGACGGCAACTATATACAGACATGTATGGCTATGTATGTGTGAGACGTATACATGTGGCATGCCTATACTGAAAGCAGCCCAGCTTGACTGTCCCAAGCTGTATCAATCGATAGTTTTTAGGTATATCGATTGCGCTCATTGGGCAGCAAAGAAAGTCCCAGTCAGAAATATTAGATCTATTCTAATCTTCATTCCAGACTTTATCTCTCGATTTTAATTTCCATACTAATCTCCAATATAATCTCCATTCTAATCTCCAATCTAGCTTTATAATGTATAGTTATATGAGACAGATTTCGATTTTATTAACTTGGTACCAGAAATCGATAGCTATGCATATAATTGAGTTATACATGACAATAATCAATTCATTTTATCGATTATTCTAAAAACTATATGCATACTAAGCTAGTAAAACAATTTGTTATATATCGATTGCCAGTTTGCTATAGAAATATTGTATACAATATGCTTGATAAGTCTAACAGATTCGATTTTAAACGATTTCACGAATCCATAACTAACAATCGATAATCGATATATGCACGGTATAGCTCTCGTCGATAGTTGTTATCGACAATAGTAATTCTCGAAAGTTATTATGGATAGCCCAGATAGAGGCATATGCCTGGGATTTGCACAGCTTTCGTTTATCGATAGATCCTACAATCGATAGATGAGCTTAGTTCATCACCATCATTTGCTTATGTACTACAACAATTGCAGTAACTGAAGAGCTCCCTTATGCCATATGCAACAGCTTCATTTCGCCTCGATGAGTTTTGTAATTATAAATGCATAAAATTCGAATGCCCGAAGACTTTAGGCGTCTCTCTACTCCTTGCTCTGACGTCTGCACATATCGCTCATTAACCGTGTTCTCGGCTGTCTTAATGAAAATTCATGAAATGTATTAAACATTTTTTATGACGCCTTCGCCTTTAATGGCTTTTCGTGCGGCCACGAAGTCATCGCCGCTTCGTGTCCCGTGCTTCGTGTTAACATTTAACGCACCCTTAACGATCCAGTAGAGTGATGGCGAGGCTGGTGAGCTGGTGGGGCTGGCGGGGCTGGTGGGGCAGGCGCTCTGTGTGTGTCTGCGTCGAGCCGCAGCTCTGGCCGAGTTCATAAAATTTTATTTGCATTTCAATTCATTTGGTTGTTGTCTTTTATATTTTATTTCGATCATTCTTCGCCACAGAATTGACATGAAATCAGTTTAAGACAACTTGAATAAGCAAAACTCAAAACATAAATAAACCGAAGGAAATGTTATGCCCCACAAACAACAAACAAAACAAAAAAACTAGCAGGATGACCTACTCAAATGTATATGAATGAGAGTTAAGGTTTTGTATAGAAACTAAGATTTTATCCCACAATTACTAGCCAAAAAGAATGCATAGATATGTCCTAATATGAATGACTCTTCCAATACTGAACTACAGCCATACATTCCACCATATATATAAAAAGTAATCCAAATTTTCCCTCAGTTGCCTGTCTGAGGTACAACAGGATGTTTAGCTATATAAACTAAGACTTGAATTTCCAATTACAGCCTGAAAAGAAATCCAGGCTATATAAACTAAGATTATTCTATTGTGTCTATTGCCTAAAATATAGAAGAATGTATCGCCTATATGTATACCAACTAAAATTTACCTTGTTTCCTGTCTGAAGTGTATCAAAATGATTGGCTATGATTGATATGATGATTTAAAAGCTAGATTAACTAAAAATTTTGATAGCACTTATGCCCTAACCATAAATAAATAAACTAATATTTTCAATAATATTATAAAATACGATGAAATACTAAGATGTACGAATTATTGCCTAAAGTCTATCGTATATATCTGTCTATATGTACCTATCTATATGTATATGTAACTACACCTATACCCATGCCCTAATACCCCATCCATGCCCATATCCATACCCATACCCATATCCATACCCATGCCTATACCTATACCTATACCTATACCTATACCTATACCTATATCTATAACTCTACCTATAGCCTATAACTTACCTATACCTATACCTATACCCATACCCATACCTATACCTCTACATCTACCTATATCTATACCTATACCTATACCTGTACCTATTGTACCTATACCTCTACCCTAAAGTGTGTAAAGTGTGTATATGAACTAAGGTCGTCTACTCCGTGTAATTAAAGAGGTGTGCAACAACTTCGATCCAGACGCCAATGTTGTTGACGACCCCAAATGTGAGGACCGCCATCAACAGAATAAGGTGTAGTTTCAGCGCCAAACGCGCACCCCTGCGAAATTTGTGCTTCTTCCGGGAAGATTGCATCAGTTGCTGCAGCCAAAGGACCTCAGCGCGTGGGTCTGTTTGGGTGCGCTTCGTTTTCGGAGCAGTTTTCGCCATCTTTGACTGATTGATTGTGATCTCGATTAATATGCATATCGATTATCCGCAGACCAATGCAAGCAATACTTACACGCTTCTTTTCCTTCTTACGCTTGTTGCGAACCATTTGGGCAGTCATCGGACGCCTCGGTTTCTTTGACTTTGGAGTACGCTCCTCCACTGCAAGAGTTAGTGTTCAAGTAAACCGCTCTCGCTGCACTCATTAAGAGATGCCTTCTTACCTGTCAACGCATCGCGGCAAGATTTTAGGAATGATACAAATTTACGCCACACTTTCAACACTTTCCTTATAGACTGCATTTTATCAATTTACTTTTTTTACATTAAAATATTATTTAATGTTGACTGAAAGCTGAACTGATACAGTCTGAATACTACGACCTGCTCCCTACGATATTCCCTTTTTGACGTTTGAGCACTTGAAATTGAATTCACACGCCAACTGAGCTCGGAGAGGTAAAGCTAGTTTTAATATATTTGATTTTATTTTATTGATTTATTTGTATACTAGAAGAAAAGCAAATAGAAATATTACAGTCGTGCGTTATCGACTTCAAAATACTCAATTCACGGCCTAAATACTGCCAGATTCATTTGCGAATTTGCCACGCCCCCAATTGGCATATATATTATTTTTGGGGACAATCAATTGAGGATGTCCGTGTTAATTTAGCTATTAAATTTTGTGTTTGAGTTTCTAGTTTATAAAAGATAGAGTTTTACTCATTTAGCCACGCCCCCAATAGTCGTAAATATATCCACCATATCTTTTTGAACTTGTGTGCTTAAAGGAAGTATACGTTCCAAACTTCAACTCTCTACCTACTTCAACTACCGGAAAGTGAATATTCCGATTCGCCACGCCCCTAGTGGGTGGGACGGAAAAATCTTGACAGTTTGCATTTTAAGCATGCACACGAGTCTATGCACTAAATTCCAAGTCTCTAGCAAAGGTTTGCACTCATACGGATAACGTTTGGCTTCAGAGTGGGGAAGTAAGAGGAGATTTTTTTAGTGGTTAACCGGAAAATGTAATTCGACAAAGCCCAACCCGAGTGACGTTCTGATTGACGTATCATAAAGCTGCTTTACTAGCATGTGGCATCAGGTTCAGCAAGCGATGCCAAGCTCAGTTGATGCATATTTCCAATAGATGAGTGCTCTCCGCATTGTGTCAAAAATGTAAGCTAATTACAGCAGCTTGCCACAGGAATCAAGGTATCTGCTTACGGAACTCTTCACAGACGGGCAGAGTGTGGTTTGGTTTACTTTCAATTTGTCGACATTGCGTTCACTTGATGAATTTGATACTTGATTTGATATTACTATATTAAATACACATTTCCATATGAACAACAGGATTTAATATGACTCGACTCTAGTTTCTCACACTCTTTCATAGAATAAATTGAAGCCGAAACAGTCAGGAGCAGCTAGATTACATTAAAGACCGAGAGAAAGAGAGAGAGAGAGAGTAGAGTCAAGTTTGGGTCTCTTAATGCTATATAACATTTACATATACATATACATATATGAACTTTATGGCCTTGAAGTAGAGTTCATAAATGCATTACGGTAGCAATTGTCATGCCATTAGGTTTATTGACAATTTGTAGTTGGAGTACCGTTATGTTCGCAGATATTAGAAAGTTTGGCTCCATGTGATTTGCTTGCCATTTTCTTTTTTCTCAGCTCCAACAGCTGTTGGTGTCCTGCTTTTGTCTTGTCGTAAATTTAATGATGTTTTTATACCCAGAACCCATTGAAAATGCAAGCTCAGGGTATGCTGCTCTTTGGGAGTGTGTATGCGACAGAGGGAGGGAGGGAGGTGTAACAGATTCTGTAAAGTGAATATAATTTAGATTAAGACGGCGGTCGAGTTGATGTAGCTCTAAGTACTTGAGTTTCTCTACGTCTTTCTAGCGCACATATGTCTGCTCGTCCTTCTACCCGTCCACCTGTACGTTGGTCTTTCCGTCCGTCTGCCCATCTGCGTGTCCTTCATATAACAATTATATATATATATTTTTTTTAAATGAAAACGGCGATCGAGTTGATCTAACCCTGAGTGCCGTATCGTCTCTGTCTTTGTTCTCTTCGTCCGTCAGTTCGTTCGTTCGTCTTTTTATTCGCCCGTCCGTACGTTTGCCTTTCCGTCCGTCTGTCCATCCGCACCTTCTTCATTCTGCTCGTACGTTCGGTTTTCTATCCGCCCGTCCGTACGTTCGCCTGTTTGTCCGTTCGTAATTTCCACCATCTGTATGTTTCGTTTTTCTGCCTGCCCGTACTTCTGTACGTTCGTTCGTCTTTTGCCTTCTATTTGTCCGTTCGGCGATCTGTTCGTCCTTACGTCCGTCTGAGTGCCTGTCTGTCGATTCGTCAACTCGTCCGTCCGGCGGTTGATCTGTCCGTTTACTCTTTAGCCTGTTAGTCCTTCTGCCCGTTCCGTCTGTCTTTCCATCTTTTGTGTTTTTCTGTGTCTGTCTGTCCGTTAGTTCATTCCTCTGTCCATCCATATGTCTATCCACTTGCCCGTTCGATCGTCCCTTTGAATTGATTGAGTCCACTCTATGGGCATAACAGCTCTTCACCAAGTGCAGGGTAACTACCAGTCGTGCACTCCCGCCTAGAGCACTCGTGCTTGTACTTCCTTTGTTTTGTTTTGTTTTTGTTTTTTCTGCGCATCTTCGCTAAGCTACTTGGCGTCTAATGAAGGCGTTGATGAGACGTTGGCGCTAGCTAGCTGCGGCGGCGTCTGCGTCAGCGTCAGCGTCGATGTCGGCGTCGGTGGCGGCCTGCAAGTGTGTCTAACGTTCTAGAAATAACATTTGTTGGTAATAAATTCCAAAGATAATACACCCACTGGCTCTATGCTGCTGTTGTGGCACAGCTGCCTCATGCCCCATGCCGCATGCCGCATGCCGCATGCCAGCCAGAAAAGGCGGCCGCCGCCATAACTCGACTCAGCTATTTATTGCAGCAGCCAAGCGGCATCAGTTGCCAACTTGCTTGGGCCATGTTTGCTATTTCATGTTGTTGTTGTTGTTGTTGTTGCCTGGCACTAAGCTAAGCGCAAATATAAATTTGCACACACACACACACATTCACACACACAGAGAGAGAGAGCCGCAGTCTTACACACACGCACATTGAAATATTACACCTGCAATTGGCGCGGCTGAGAGGCGTTTTTCACGCCCACACACAATAACACAAATAAACACCCCAACACATACTCACACACACACATACGCGCACATTTCGTGTTGTTAATGAGCCTATGTCTTTCTCGCTCTCTCTCTCTCTCCCTCACACACACACACACACACACGTGCATATAATGATGCGTTTATTAATGCCAGTCATAGTCTTTATTAACAAGATGAGCGCCCATCTAAACTAATTTTGGGTTTTTTAATTATCAAACATCATCTTGAGTTTCTTCATTCAATTATTTCCAGATGGGATCTACCTAGTTAAGGCGGCTATATGAGCAAAATACATTCGCTTTGCAGCACTCAAGCCGATTTGACTAAAAAGCTAGAACTATCTATGTGGCTGAGGCTGATTTTGATTGAATATACGGATAGAAGCACGGACGGATAAACTGGCCGGTAGGCGAACAGACGGATGGACCGCGAGAGAGGAACGAAAGGTCCTAGGGATATAGGCACGAACATTGGGTGCATTGAATAGAGTCTATTTACTTAATTCAGCATAAAGCTACTTACAATTTTGTATTTTCTAAATTTCTAAACATTATTGTAATATATAAAAAGGGTTTTTTTTTTTTTTTTTGAATTTTTTTATAACATGCATGGTTGATATTTATTATTCAGATTTATTATTCAGATATATAGTTCTATTAATTTATCTAGTGTTTTATAGCTGAATTGTTTATTTATAAGTATGTATATTGATGTAATTTATCTATCCATCTATTTATCTATCTATCTATCTATCTATCTATCTATCTATACATCTACCTATCTATCTATACATCTATCTATCTATCTATCTATCCGTCTATCTATCTATGTATCTATCTATTTATTCTTATCTATCTGTCTATCTATACATCCATCATTAAAATATCTATTTCCAGCTATTTGATTGGTTAATAAACCTTTAGGCCATTCATAGACTTTTATTTACCTAAGCAGCGATGCTTGTTTAGAGCATTAAATTTTCGTCACGCCGAACGCTGACAATGCTCCAAGTGTCTTGTTCTACCGTCTCACCCTTTCCACACACCCCCCCGCCAACAGCTACGCAGCACCCTCTTCATCCCCCTCCCCATCGCCTAGCTCATGCTAAGCTTTTGGTTTCGTTGTTTTTGGCGCTTTCTTCTACAACATTTGCCACTTACTCATAAGCAAATGGGCTGTGGTGCGAGGAGAGGGGCGGCCGAGAAGGGGGTGTATGTGTGTGATGCGTGTAGGCATGTGGCCTATGGAATGGGCACATGTTGCTTCATTTCAACACATAGCAGCAGTAGGAAGGGGCGGTGGCGGGGGGATGCTCGTTGCCGCATGGGGCGTGTCATTAGGTTACATACATTCCTGTAATTACAATTCACCGAGGAGCCCACAATGCGCCATATGAGCCGCAAGCCGAAAGCCGAGAACCGAGAGCCGACAACCGAAAGGCGACTGAGCCAGGTCTTTTAATATGAGTATGCAAATCCAAAGAGGGGTAGGGAAGGGTGGGGGTGGAGGTGACTGTTCTTGCTGCTGCTGCTGCTGGGTCATCGATGGCAAAGTTCACAGTCGTATGTAGATTGTCTCCGGCATGTGTGAGAGAGGAAAAAAAGCCGTTCACCTTTTTGCCAGGCAACAACAAAATTATGTCATAAAATGTTTTTGCGTTCGCTGCTAATGTCGAGAGGCAGCAAGAGGGGCTGGTGGTAGGGGCGGCTGCAAGGCGGAGGGCTGGGGAGCAGTGAGAGAGGGAGAGAGACACCCATATACAGCTTGCCACAAAATGCCGCATTAAAATCACAAAATACAAATACAATATGCAGAGGCTACACACACTCTGCGGCCGCCTCCTGCTCCAGCACTGGCAAAGCCCATAAGCGAGCATAACCACTCCGAGCCACGCCCACTGCGCCCATTGCGCCCAGCAGCAACAGCAACAGCAACAGCAACTTTTATGTTTATGAAAAATTACGTGAAAGCACCGGCACAGTGGGCGTTCAAATGGCAGGGGCGTGCCAGTGGCAGTGGCAGTGGCAGTGCCAGTGCCAGTGCGCCAGCCAAGTGACTAACTTTTCAAAGTTGCCAACGATAAAAGGCGCTACAAATTTCGATATGGAATATTTCCCGTTATTATCCATAACGGCAGCTGCTTCTGCCCCCAGAACCCAAGCTCCAAAAAGCAAA